GAGGGGAAAGATTTCATCTCTGAGGTGGTCCTATTTTAAATATGTTTTAGCCTTCTTACAGAAAGTGGCTCTCTGTATACGTTTACACACCGGCCTGCCAGCCAGCACCCTCACCCTCCTCTGCTCCCTCCTTTTAAAGCCACAGCTGCTCATTCATGGCACTGTGCTAACACCTGGACTTCTTGGCGCTGTGTGTGTGTGTGTGTGTGTGTGTGTGTGTGTGGAGAGAGAGAGAGAGAGAGAGAGAACAATTTATGAGCTTAGTCAGCTCAGAAAATGCTATGAAGGACAGAAGCGGATAAAATAGCAAAATGATTCCCCCACAGGAGATTAGAGAAGGGAGCAAAATTGGATTGTGTCATTTCACTGAACATTGTATGGGGACTCTAACCAAGATGAAAATGCATACATTGTGCAAAAATGAAAAATGATGTGCAAAATATATTAAGAAAATAAATTTAGCATTTGTATAAAAAAAAGGTGTTTATTCTGGAACCATTTGTTGCTGTCAGAGTAGTAGCTGCGGACAGAGCACTGACTGAGGGTTAAATGAGCCCTGCTCTGAGTCCTGTGTCTTCTCCCTACCAGCTGTGCGACCTTGGGCAGACTGGCTAACCTCTCTCAGGCAGAAGCACAGCATCAGTAAAATGGAGACAAATTGTATCTTTCTCCTGGGTGTTTGGGAGGATTGAAGGAGAAAGAGTGTAAATTAGGTTAGTGTGAACTGCCTGAAAGATGAGCTCATAGAAAACAATGAATACCAACTTAATTATTTGTTGACTTGGTGTTATCCTGTCTTACTCTTTTTGACATACTAATTGTTTCACTGTTAGAAAATTTTCAGTTTTAAAAAACTGTATTTTTTAAATTGAGGTAACAGCACTGTAAGTGTTTTAGGGATATAGTTACAAATATTGCCGAACTACACTCACCACCATAACTCCAAAAATCTGCCACCATAGTTTATCTCGAAGGAGAGGGAAATTAAGAATCTCTTGCTTGGTCAACTCAAAAAAATTCTTCCTTAAGAGAATGTGCCTGGTTTCTACTTTGTTTCATCTAGAGATAGACATGATACAACTCTTCAACAATGTATTTTACATTGGCTCAAGAGTTCTATGAAATTCCTGATGAATGAGTGAAAGAGTAATGTAAATACACAATTACTCAATCCAACATGGCGAGGTTTGTTATTGTTTTGCATTTATTTTACAGAACATGGAACTCAACAGAAACCACTTCCAAACAGTTTTTCAATGACAACACAGTGAACAATGCCCATTAATTACCTTGTTCGAATGAAAGATGGATGAATGATTTTGCTTTTCAGACCTCAAAGCAATATAGATTTGGCAAGGAATAGGAGTGGCCATTACAGCAACCCATTTTTCAAGGGTGACACAGTTTGTATTTATTCCCATTTGTAAATGTCTTCCAGTTTTAAAGAGAATGCAAGGACCATTTCTTAAGATGTTTTGAAATTTAATTCCGATGCAGTCTGCAAACTCATCCCTTTGGCTTTGCACTTGTAAATACAAGCATATCAGGAAATTTGCACAGAGACGTGAATGTTTTCACCCGATGTTGGGTGGCTCTGGTTGGGAACTGTGTACATTAATCTTTTGACCAAATAGCAACATGCCTCTTTTGCACAACTGGGCCCTGTGGGTAACTTCTGTGCAGTGTATTCATAGGAAGAAAACCTGATATTTTAAATTCTCCTCCCTTCCTCTGGGAGGTGGCAGTACACTCAACACAAACCCTTGCTTCTTATACTTCCAGGGCTGGAAAAGTTTCTTTTCAACCAGCAACTGAAAAACAAAGGACACTCTGGGAACAGTTGATAACTTAGCAGAGTTATTCTCAAGGTGTCTTCTCATTGGAGTTAAAGGTTGGCCTCTAGTGGGAATCGGAAATACTCAAAACTCTTCATTCTCCTACCTCTGGCAGACTTTTTGCTGAACTTTAATTTTTGGTTAATTCAATGAGAAACTGAGGGAACTTTTAAACTGTGTCCAAGGAATGTATCAAGCACCTGTTATGTGAGAATGCTGTTGTCTAGTCTTGAATGGTGTGTATGGAATAGGACAAGGCTCCTACCCTTAAGAAGCTCGCCAAACAAGGAAGTAACATCAGCATATCAGAGGCATCATACTTCCCTTAAGTTGTTAACCCAAGTATACACAGTAATGGATTCATTGAAAAAATATGTTTAGTCTTAGTAGCTGCCACAGTTAACCACTACTCTGAAATATTCAATAGCGTTCTAAAGAATAATTCACTTGCCATACGGCAGTGTCTTCCTGGATGCATAATGGAATCTTTGATCCAATTCTTGTTCATAATATCTTCTGGGTTATTCAGTGAGGAACATGGCAAATATTTGTGTTTACAATGTCTTCTGCCCTTGATTTGTGGAGGCGTCATTGCTCCTTTCAAGGATACCTCCTGCTCAGACCTCTCAATAAAAGTGCACACACTTTACTGAAGATGGATCCTCTCTGTTTCAACAAGGTGGCACCTTGCTGCTGTCCACAGCTTGTTCTGTTTCCTTTGAACATTGTGGCCCATGGGAGGAATAGCAGCGAAATTTTGAGATACTCTAGAATTAATACCTGGTGATGGAGTCAATATTCCAGAATGTCTTATAAAAGGTATTAACTTGTGTTCTTTAATGTAATGACAATAAGGTAAAACTGAAGTAAGATTTGACTTGCTGCTTCTTACTGGGTTCATTACATAATGCATTAGGAAAACTTTATTGAGTTTTTAGAAGATTGGCTCCCTTTGCCCTTGAATGGAAGATACAAAAGTTTAAATATCAATAGCTACTTTGTTCAGTGGGTCATAGTCAGAACAGTTGATGGAAAATCAAACTGAAGTCTTCAACAGTGTTTGATTGTGCTTTCTCCCAAGAAAAGGTTCAATTTCTCCATAATTCTCATATGGACACTGCCTATCCCAAACTCATTTTTGATGACAAGGAAGGGAAATGCCAACACTGACTTTATTTTCAGGACCAAAAATGCCACCAGTGACCTCAGTTCATGACTTAGCCCTGAATGCTCTACCTGTGTTATACACGCAGTGCTTTCGAAAGCACTCTGGGAAAATACAGAGGGGATGGATGGGGTCTTCACACTTCAACTTATTTTAGAGTTGGTCTTCACCATATCCATAAACATATATTAAGTGTTCAGTTAAGTACCAAATTTCTGTCTGCAGATTTAGTTTTATTTTTCTTAATTCCCAAATACATAGTCTAACTTGCCTTTATTTAAATTGCCATTGCTTTTATATTTATATTTAAATGCTCATTATCTAAAATGATGTGTTTCAGATGTTCTTTCATAGATATGACAATGAGAATTTCTTCCAAAGGTTCTTTTGCTTCCCTGATCTTCCAGCCCATCCTTCATGCGGAAGTTGTACTCTTTACCACTGCTGGAAGAGCTAGGGTATATGACTTAGGGGCGTAACTGTGTTAGCAATGCTTTCTTGAGAGTTGACGGCTGTGAACCCCCCAAACTCTCTCTTCCCCCTTTCCTCTTAGCAATGTGTAACTTGTGAAGAGAAACTTAAAGATGCCTGGTGCTTCCTTGTCCTTATGTCTGAACTTTTGCCAAACTGGTGTTTAAAAAACCATATATTTCACGTGAACAATGTGTAAGGGTTTGGCACAATCTTACTAAAGATTCAGAGTTCCATGTGGAGTTTTGCACAATGAGCTTTTCTTGTTTTCAAGGCACTCCAGAATACTGGTTGATGCAGTATTAGTTAATGGACCTTAAACTTCTGAATGTCCCTGAGATGTAAAAGTCATCTTCAGCAAATTCATAATTGAGGCTAAGAACAAATTTTCATATTTGCTTACTAACAGAGGCTCAAAATTTTTACCAAAATATACAATGGGACTCAAGCAAAAATATGAATAAGCTCAATTTTGGAATATTCCTCCCAGAAACATTACCCTGCTGACACCTGCTCAGACCAGCCTCCTCCTGTGTGTGTGTGTGTGTTTTCTTTTTCAAATGCTCATCAAGTTTTACCACCTTTCATAGTTTCTTGAATAGGGCATCGAGGCAGGCGTTTCTTGCATGTGTGTGTATCATTTTCCCACTGGTCTGAGAGAAGCTTGAGGGAAGTTACAACACTTCTTCTTGTGCCTCCTCCCAAACCCCTAACAGACTACGGGACATAGAATACCTCCCAAACGTGAGCTGGCTTGATTCACAGACCATTTATGGTGTTGCGCTGTTTTTCACTCATGTGGCCTGAGCTGCAGACAGTTAAACAACAACAAAAAAAGCTGTAACAGAAAAATGTTTGTGTTTTCATCTGAGCACAGAGGTCAGAACAAGGAGGGTGGTGGTTCTTAGAATAGAAGGGGGATGGTGTGTGCATATCACCGAAGCTGCTTGCAACCATCGGCCAGAACAGTGACATCACAGGAAAGCAAGTTTCCCTGTGAAGAGTTTGGGGCTTCCAAACCCGAGCCTCTCTCCTTTGGCTGGTGGAACCTTTCACAGGGAGAATCCTCGAGTGCCTCTTTGATGCTGGCTATGGTTACCAGTAAGAGCAAAATTTTTCCAGTTCAACTTTACGTTGGTCACAATTACCCTTGGCCTTAAAGTTCCTGGCCCACCTCTTTCCCTTCTTTTCCAGCTCTGGCTGGCTCTCTGCACTAAGTTTCTTTAATCTTTTCTCCTGCCATCTCTCTGCTTTTCCCCTTGCTCTCTCCTGTCCTCGCTTCAAATAGTACATATTTTATAAAAAATGCCATCTAGGTAGTTCAGCCAATCTATTGACTTGAACTTAAATATTGGACAAAATACATTTTAAGTGGTTTTTAACTAAAAGCTAATGTGAAAATGTTGGAATATGTACCAATGTAAGCATATTAAATTTAAGACCATGTGCAAATACGGTTTAAAAAATTACATTGTGTTCTTTCTGCTAAAATCTGAAAGGATATAGATATATAAAACCCACCTTCTGAGTCATGATGTAATTTAGATTATATTTTATTAGACATTCTTTACAAATTTAAAATACTGCTATTTTTACATGCACAGAGGAAAATCAGTTTGGATAATTATATTTAGGCATTCATTAAAATCAACCACAAAATAGAGACACTTTATTGTGTCATTTCTCAACATACTTGATATGTATATCTAAAGTGCATTATGTTACAAAAAATATAGAAATTCAGCAGCACCAAGATACATTTACAAAATAAATACATTGGTTGACAAAATAAATTATAGTAAATGTGATAATAATAATTGAATTAGACTTGACAAAAAAAATTCACAATGACCAACGTGCAGTTTCATAGAGTGATGGAGGAGAAACAGTTTTATTCCAATGCATTTACAGTATTTACAGACAATAAATATTTCTAATACTTTCCATATGTCCACTTTTACAGAATTCTGCAATATGTCTTCTGAAGGTCTCATTGAAAATTTCAATGCCTCCTGCAAAGAGAAGGAAGGGAAAGAAGAGGAGAAAAATAGGTTAATTCTCCTTGCACATGAATAGGCATAAAATAAGGAACATAAACGAATGAATACAGAATCACAGTAGAAAGAGATTCAGGGATTCTTGTAAATACCTCCTACAGGAGATGTCTGTGGGACCTGTCTGCCTCTCCATAGTCTCAACTACAGGCAGAGCCTTTCATTCCACCGAATGATCGATGTGGTGCAGAAAGAGAAAGAGCCTGCTTTTCTAATTATATATACTCTGCTGGAGAGAAGGAGACCCTGTGAGAAGTTTCCAAAGCTGCCAGTTGGCAAGTTGAAGAAGGGAAAGGACAACTTTGAGGATTTGGAACTAAGGTTAGGTGGCATAATCCATCTTCAAATACACCTTGCTTAAAAATTCGCTCCCTAGTGAGGTTTTGACATAGGCAAGTCCAGAGACTGCTTAATCTGATCATTTGGCCAGTTTCTTGCTGAGGTACTGGGATGTTATGGGGATAAGGTTGTATGATTTGGGGTGAATGTTGGAAAGATGTGTAGGTAAACAGTATGTTCGACTGAATATTTGATGATATCGGTCATTTCTTTAGTCATCCTTAAACACAAATAGGTGAAGCTATCGTTGGATTTTAGTTTTTGAAGCCAAAACTAAGACTAAGGATCCTATCTTGTTCCACTGGTTTTTGAATAGCTATTGCATTAGGGATTGGGAGAGCCTCTTTTAAATAAGTGAATAAGAATCAATTTCCTTAAAAGTATGGAATAACAATTTTTCACATCACTGTGTTTGTTACTCAAAATAAATTATCACCTAGGAATGACATTTTTTTTTAACCTTGAAACACTGGAATGATAGTATTTTCAGACATACTGGCAGTGTTTTCTCTGTTCCCTCTTTTCTTTCTGTCTGTGTATTTTATTTCAAACAAATATGTAGAGGCATCTAAGGAAGAGACTATAGAATGGAATTCAAGTGGCTGTATCACTGCATTAACAGCTGCAGTGGTAGGTAGAGTTTCACATAGGTGTGCGAACAATGAAAGGGCAAATTCTGGACATTTAGGAATTTTATGTGCAGCTCAAAGCAAGAAAAACAAGTATAGCATTTAGGGAGTTTTAATGTCTTAAGGAATTATCTCTTTCCCTGATAATTTTGGTTGGAGTGATAAACTAGCAATCAGTTGCAGAGGAAAAAAAGAAGAATTTAAGATTAAACTGGTGGGTGGACATGAATGACTGTGATGAACAAAAACAAAAAGATATTTGCAAAACTGAAGTACTTGTGTTGTATACTGTTTTTAAGATTTTTTTTTGTATGAAAAGGTATTGAGTAAATTGAATTTAAGAATAACACAAGCAGGGGGCTCCCTGGTGGCGCAGCAGTTGAGTGCTGGGTTGCGAAGCTGCCTGCAGTTTCTGCAGCACCGGTTCGATCCCCGGCCGCCGGTGAGTGTCCCACATGGCACGCAGACCTCTCCTGCCGCTCCCGCTGCTCCCCTCAGCAGTGCATTTCATCAGTCTACCTGTTCTGTTCCCCACTCTGGTGAATTCTCTCACCCTCCCACGCTTCTGACTGTATCCAGTGCTTGTATAAATAAATAAATAAATCTTAAAAAAAAAAAGAAAGAATAACACAAGCAAGGGGGGGGGGAATGAATAGTACTTTGAGCAATTATTTCCTTTGAAGGAAAGTCAGAAAAAAGGATTAAGCTAAAGGACCAAGAAAAATATCTTTTAATTATATTTTATACTGCATAGCCAATTTGCTTGTTACCTGGTTTCTGATTTCCTTCTAACAAAGACAAGTTTTGGAATCGCCAAGTAAAACATAAACCACCACCTAAAAGAACATGTATATGTTTATTATACATGTGTGTATGATAACACTTTAAAACCTAGACCTTTGGGATACTGAAAAGCTTTTATATTATTTCTAAATCAATATTTACTAAGGGGAAATATATGGTCTCAATGAAATGAGCCCTACTGTATCTGAGGTCTCATTTGCCACATGAAAAATTTCAAAATGTAATTTCCAAAATGTAAAGCTATGTATTTCCCACAGAATGGCTCATGTGAGAGGAGCAAGGCAATTTGAGCTCAGTCGTTTCTTCTGAAGAAAACTGTGTATGTTATAATAAAGTTCATGTTTACTGTATCACCAGATTCATATCATCATATAACAATGCAAAAAGACTAAAGGGAGGACATTAATAAAAGGTTATTTGCTTATAAAAATTTAAAATAGTTATTCTAAAATGATTCTGTTTGGATAACAGAATTGTAGTGTCCCATATGATCTCATCAGTATGCTCCCACATTTCCCCTTTCCTGCCTGTACCTCTGTTGGGTTGTGTTGGGAGGGGGCCAACATCTGGCTGCCAAACGGACAGTGCTTTCCATGAATGTCCCTCACAACCCGGGCATGGAAAGGAGAAGCAGAAACATTCTATTTCTTTCAGTTCTAGGTCTGGATTTGATTAGGCCACTACCTAATTTCACTAGATCTACTTTAACTTAGAGACAGCTTTGGGATAAGATTTGATGAGTGCTCATTTTCCTTAATTCTCCAGATATATTGCAAATTTTAAATGAATAAAATTCATTTAAAAGTATACTCTTGTTTCACTCACTCATTTATATTCAATGTCATATATGTGTGTGTATGTATATGTGTGTGCATATATAGATATACACATATACACATAAACACAAGACAGTGTTTAGGATCATAAAATACACTGAATATGGGCACTGAGCCAGAATTCATAGGATTGGTTTTGTTACCCTTTTAGGTCATAAGATAGCTGCAGACTAGGTCATTCACTGTGGTGAAGATTTCTCTCGTGCCACTGCCCTTTGATGACCAAAGCTTACAGCTTATCCAGTGTAATTACCTGCTAAAGTTTGATGGCAAATTTTATCGGCTATGCAATGGTGGGTTTTGTCAACTCAGAGAGTGGTGATGGTAAATAGGTTCACAAACTCACATTTGAAGGCTCATTGTACAACCTTCTCTCTAATCAAAAGAAGGGACTGGAGCAGTTACAGGGGCTCTTTCAAAAAGGAGATAATTAGCTGCACCTGACATATTTGTGTGTTTTCCCCCTTTCTTCCAAACCCTACAGAAGTGCTGTATTGAAAAGTCAGAAACATAAAATAGCCTATGAGTAAAAATGCATGGGTCAGGAAGCATCCCTAGAAATGAGGAAAGAACTTCAGTTCTGAGGGCTTATTTGGATTTCTATTTTATAAAATGAGGTTAATATCTCCCTCCCCCCCTTTTTTTTACCCCATAGAAACACAGTAGGTAGGTAGGCAGATGGATAGATAGATAGATAGATAGATAGATAGATAATAGGTGAATAAAGGAACAAATGGATAGATAGGCAGGTAGCTGGATGGGTGGATGGATAGATAGGTGATAGAATAATCAGAACTAGATCTACAAGCACCAAGACAACATCAAGTTGCAACTTACTGAGTGTTTACTATATGACATGCACTGATCCCATGTAGTAAGCTCATTTAATCTTTACCCAATCCTGTGAAGTTGGTACAATTATTATCTTCATTTCACAGAGGAGGAAAGTGAGTCTTAGGAAGATACAGAACTTGGCCAAGGTTGTAAACTTTAAATTTAAAGTTCACACCCAAGTCTTGAAAGACTTGAACCTAGTCTCTGAAGTCTGTGAATGGCCTTCCTACCTGTCTCTGTAAGATAGGGGTAAACAAGTCGCATAAATGGAAAGTTTTATTTTTCCTACTGTAATATCTTACAAAAATTCTTTCAACTTGGCAGTGGACAAAATAGATACATGAAAAAAAAAAACTGAGCTCCTACCCAAGCCAATACTTCATTTTCAGACACCATTTTTCTTTTATGAGCTGGTTGAAACCAGAATTTAATTTAAATATATTTAAAGTGTGTGTTTGCAATTCCTAATTTATTTCAATAAAAATAAATTTCAACTTTAATTAAATACATTTAGTTAAAAATAAATTATTAAAAATAAAAAAAGTGAATGGCCTAGAAATGTTTATGGTAAGATAATGTGCTGTAGTGTTTGTAGATCCTAGCCTTCTATGTTCTCCCATGAAGTGAAAAAAAAAAAAGTAAGAAATGAAAAAGGATGACATTTCCCAAGGTGTGAGAGCAGGGGAATAAAGACACGTCTCCAGCAAATGCTGAAGACAGTCGGCTGAAGCTTGAGCTGGACATGAAGTAAGGAACAGAGAGCTGCAGGACTGAAGTGTTTGGGGCGCAGCAGGGGAGAAGGGAGGGTTCCGTGGAGTGGAGGAGAGAAGTGGCTTCTAAAACGTATGTGGTCTGCTTTCAGGAGACCATTCTGAGCTGTCCTGGCTCGGGTAAGCTTTTAACTGGTGGGGTCGCCGGTGGAGGTAGACAGAAAGAGAAAGATCTCGGCTTGCCCAAGCCAAGACCAAGCGCGGCCGGAGGCCCGAGCGGCGCTGCGGCAGCCCGGGCGGGTCACCTACCGTGAGAGGCGCTCCAGCGCGTTGGCGGCCGAGTCGGAGGGGCGGGCGGCGTCCAGCCCGCTCCCGGCCACTGCGCCTCGCCAGGCCGACCGCGTCCGCCGCTTCTTTTTCTCCTGCTCCTTGCGTTTTCCGGGCTTGCCTTTCTTTTTCTTGCCGGGTGTCTTCAGGGGCTGCTCTTTGTATGTCTCCACCTTGTTGGTTTCCTGAGTTAGGTATCTGCCCTCGTCGTCGGACCCAAATCGCACCGGATGGTTCTTTGTGTTAGGAGCAGGCTTGGAGTTGGGGGAGACCTCCGAGGTAGCTCTGATTTCCGCGGTGTGGATTTCTGCGATCAGGTGGTGAAGGAAGAATCGTCGCCGCAGGTCTTGGATGGACTTGCCTTTGTCATGGAGGAGCTGATGTTCAGACACGGCCCTTTTGCTTTAGAGAAAAAAATAGCAGAAGAGGAAGTGAATAAATAAATTGTAGTCGTTGATAGAGACCACAAAGACGGGGGCGGGGAGGGGGACATGCCCTTTCTTTTTCTAGTTGGTCTGCCACAGGCCACAAGCTGGAAAGGCAATTCGGTGAAAGTGGGAAGGGAAGGGCACCAGTGAGGAGGAGGCTCGGAGGCCAGGGTTGGCCTCTTGCTGGGTAGGTGACCTAGGTGGGAAAAAGGGCACCCCAGACCTCGTGGGCCCCCTGTGTTTACTGGGAAGGTAAGGCATCCAGCTATTTCCATATTCCCATCTCAGTTAAAACATGATCAGTTATTCTCAGAAATAGTCCAGAAAGCACTAAGCTGCTTTTCACCTTTTCAGAGTTCTGATGGGGAAATAATTCCAGATGTCCTAGCCGAGGAGATTGGTTTTACCTGAGTGCTTGCCTTAGGCACACTCATGTATATGGGCTCATGCACACACACACACACACACACACACACACACACGCACAGCTCCCTGATAAGAAAGTAATATAATACTGAATCTCAGAGCCCAGCACGTTCTAAGAGTAAAAGCAAACAGACCAAGAATGAGGTGAGCAAGAAAAGCTGTCTAGAAAACCACTTTCAGGCTAAGTTTTAACACAGGAGTTGCAAGCTAAATTTTAACATATTAGACTCTGGGCTTCCAGGACTTACAACTAAAGGCTCACTGTCAGAGTGCATCTTCATGTAAAGTCGTCGGTGGACTCTGTAAAATTGTGCATTTAAGTGAGAACACTCTGGTTCTTCTGTGCTTCAAGGTTTCATTTGTTGGTTTTTTAGTTTAGAACTTCTAAGGGTATTATCCTTAGTTGAGAAATTCACTTTTCTCCTCTTTCTCTGTGACATATCTCTAGGAACAGATATGAAGTGATTTTTTTTTTCTATTTAAACAACCCTCTAATGAAAAATATGGTGAAAAAAAATAATCCTGTCCATTCTTTTAGCTGGTTCTCTGACTCTGGCTTAAATGCCCATTCATGTATTCCTTTTTCATGCTCTGTGTGTTTTAACCACAATGAAAGCTTGCACATATGAACAGGTATATCTGGCTGCTTCAACATTGCTGTTGCTCTTTGCTTCGTTCCCTTGATTGCTGTGTTCCTTGAGAGCTCCTTAGAAAAGTAATCCTCTTGGGCCTCCCCTGGTGGTGCAGGCGGTTGATCGCCGAGCTATGAAGCTGTCTGCCACCTCTGCAGCACAGGTTTGATCCCGGCCAGCAGTGAGGGTTCCACATGGCGTGGCAGACCTCTCCTGCCTCGCCCGCTGCTCCCCTCAGCAGTGTATTTCATCAGTCTGCCTGTTCTGCTCCCCCTCTGTCTCTGGTGAAGCCTCTCACCCTCCCGTGCATCTGGCCTGTACCCCGGTTCTTGTATAAGTAAATAAATAAATCTTTTTAAAAAAAGAAAAGTAATCCTCTTCCCCAAAAACTCCCTTGAGTGATTTCTGCCACTGAAAGCTCTACACTGAAAAAAATCTTTCATTTTCAAAACTCTTCAAAGGTATTTCTTGGGGGTCCATCCCTGGATGTTCTTATTCCCCTGCACAGTGGTGTCTGGATCCACCACTGTCTTATGAGAACCACTTCTTTAACTTCTCAGAATTAACTTGACAATCATAAATAGCCTTCTCATTGTGTGGATGAGAGAGTGAAGTTTGGAGATGCCTCGCTCAGTGAGAGCAGGTACAGTCAGGATTCCAGAAACTAGGCCTCCTGATTCTAAAACCAAGATTGCTCTTTCACATTCTCTGGCCCTTCTCTGCTCGGATGAAGTGCATGTTCAGGAAACACTACCGGAAGGGTAGGGAATGAAAGCCTGCTGTGGGATCCCTGACAATTCACCCTTGGACAGCAAGCTATGAATTTCCTCGAGGATCAAGCTGTTGCCTTCCCCTCCAAAAAGTTCATTTTCATCACTAAAATAAGGACATGGGATTCCGAGAGTTTGGATTATCATGGGGTGGGGGAGGGGAGGAGGGTGAGAGGAGAGATTGTCTAGTTAGATTATGAGTTAAAGGAGCAGATATGAAAAGACAGCCATTCCTTCTCTTGACCTTATAGGCAGAATACTGGCCTCCTTTGGATATTTTAGCATGTGGACTGACTTTAAATCCTGTAGCCATGTAGTTGAAAAAAAGACATGAGTTAATGGAAAGGAATTTAACAGGAGCCTGGTTGAAATGAGGTATGAAGGATTCACTCTTCATTTTGAAGGTGCCACATGTGACTGGATTAAAAATCACTTACTTTGTGGCAATAGCATCTAGAAAACCTTAATAATTTACAAGTGGGAGGATTTGGCAGATTATATTTATATTCTCTAATGACATTTTTTAAAAGAATCGGACTGATATGCTTGATATTTCATAAGCATTGCTGTGAAATAAGATCTTTTAGCAAAATGTCACATTTAGACATACTTAGCCTGTCATTTAAAGTACAGGGATCTTTTATTTCTTTCTCAACCCCAGGTACACCTCCTCCCCATCTGTATTGCTCCCCAAATGTATAATCAATGTAGCCTATTCTCACAACCCAAAGCCAAAACTTTTAGTCTGTTGTAATCACGCCACCATTGCCCATGCCTCCGGGGACAGGCATATATGCCTGTCAGTGAGTCACAGCGCCCTCTTACTTCAAACCCTGAACTTTCCCAGATGGCTCTTCATTCTCCTGGGGAATGCAGTAATCCTCCTATTTTAGAAGAAGCCTCCAATATGACCCAACTTTGTCCATTTTAAAATAGCACCTCTCTTGGGAGGTGCCAACTTTGCTTTCTGCCTGGCAGGGGGCATTTCCTAGTTAGCGGCATTTTTCTAAATGTTAAATCTGAAATGCTATTAGATGATTTGCTTCATCATTCAAAAACATCTATATTTAAAATATGGAGAAGAATGAATTTCTGATTGGGCAGCTACCTGAGAGGGCAGGATTATAATGGCACCTTTATGATCAACAAGGAATAAGGCCCATAGGAGGTTCTATACATTTTCAAAATAGATGGGAACTGACATAAGGATAAATGAGCGGCTAGTGGAAACTGGATAGACATAGGTGGTGGCTAATCAATTCAAATTCAAGAGGCTTTTCATTCAGACAATTCTGAAATATTTAAGTTGTAAATATGGCTCCAGTGATAGTCCATTACTCTATTTGTCTTTAAGCATTAGCTAGCACAGCCTTTCACATGGCATATATCACATATCTAAGCTCCAGCATGGAAAAACAAGAACATTAATTCATACTCTCCTTCGATTATTGTAAAAAAAAAAAAATTGCAGAAATGGAGGGGGAATACTTAACAGACAAAAGTAGAGGCTGTCAAAAAGATATAGCTCTTTAGCTTTAAAGAACAATGGCTCTCAGGGGACTTTTTCAGGAGGAGATTAAATTTCTAAGGCGCTCTCAAGGAACACAGGGAAAAAGCAGAGGACTGGAAATTCCTCCTCCAGCCCAGGCAGGAGCAGCAGGCTTGCGCTGCTGTGAGGCTCCACAAGAAGGAGCTTGGGTTTGAGGAGAAAAGTTCTGTGGCACATGGAGGAGCCGGGGTTAGGGTGTTAGAGTTAAGATGACTCACAGAAGTCCCTTCCAGCCCAGATGACTCAGTTGAAAGTTATGCTTTTCATTAAGTGGAACAGACCCAGTCTGGCTCCCCAGCAAATCAGCCAGTGATGTTTTAGGTTTCTGAATCTGCCGGGTTCCCTCTCTAACTTATACACAAAGGTAGCCACCTGCTGAAAGCTATGTTCATCTGCACAGAAGCATCCATAGCATCACCTTCCAACCTTCAACATGCTCATGCTCTAGCTACCTTTGTTGAAGGCTTCTACACTATCAGATCCAAAAGATGCACAACTGATTATTGCCCCCTTTGCATGATTCTTGCTGTACTAATTTCTGCCCCCTTAAAAATGAGTCCCTAGTTAGCAAAACTTCTAAAGCAGTTTCTCCTAATACTTGGTGTGAAAAGTAATTGGGGAGGAGTATGGTTTGATTATATGTTAAAATTTCTTTCAAGAAACTCAGTGGGTTTAGCGTAATAGTAGACTGATGTTTTGTCTAGCACACAAAATGTACTGTGCCTTGGCAGAAAAGCAGAAATAATGACTTGACTTGTTTTTTTTTTTTTTTTTAACTCCATTTGGCTGCAAGAATTTGATGAAACATCTTCATCTACTGATGATTTCAGCCTCTGTGAAAAACCAGGGTTGTAATGTGATGATCTATTAGCCATTAGCTATAAGAATGTTTTGTGGTAGTTTTATAACCGTCTGCTGAGTGTGAGTGTTTAACTACAATATTATATTTCACCCACAAACAAAACTATAACAGAGTCTCTGGCTACTAAATGGTTTCTGATGTTCACTTTGCAAGGTGCAACAAAGAGAGTTAAAAATAGCCTTCAGGACAACTTAGCACTATTTTTATGCCTTCACTGTGGATTTAATCATGGTCCATTTACTGTTTCTCAAAAGAGAAAACAGGTATTTCTTAAGCAACTTTAAAGAAAAAAAATTGGCTCCATTCCAATATAGTATTTCTCGGCCAAATAAATACAGTACGTACGTGTGCTTTTAAGAATTCAGTCCTCACCTATATTTACATATGGATCTTAAATAATTGAATTTAATATAAATCTCAAAATGAGCAAAAAATGAGTATTTCTTCAGAAATACATCAGCAAAATGTTGATTTGAAGAGTACAATGCTGCTTTATCTTCAGTACAATGTTCTACACAATTTGCCTTAGGAGATTCATAATAGATTTTCATTTTGCTGCCAAGGTTCAGACATGTCTAAAGTAATTTCATTTAAGGATTTTCTGCTTTAATTAATAATAGACCAAGGGCACATATAAAACAGTTGCCTTTCTGTATCCCCTTGGGAATTTACAAGGAAGCATCAGGAACAGTACTGTAAATATCAGATATTGCACTTTATTGTCAGTGTAAAAGTTCTCTTTAATTCCTTCTCCAGAGGCAAACTCTTCTCAGTTCTCAAACTTTATGCTTTTCCCATCCCCAGCAGGGAGCAGCTTCAGGATCACCTTGAGGTGTGTTACACACATGAATGAACTGTGTCCAACAGATAATTTAGATAGTGAAACTCTCCCACCTTTCCAACTTCTCAGGCAATACCCCTCATGACATTTGTCTAGTGGCCTTGGAGGTATGATTATTTTAAAGAAAAAATTATCCTTAAAAGAATCACCAAGAGAGAATGCCGAAAGACAAGTTTTCAGTCTACCATGCAAATATATAACTCCAGATTTAAGAACTGTGAGCGGTCCTTTCAAGGGAAAAAGAGTTTCCACACCTACTGGTCCTTTTGGGATGGAGCTCTCTAGCGTCCCCGAAAGGTATTGATACTAACCTTGGCGTGGTGCCATTTGCAAAGTTGTTACTACTTTATTATATAATATGCCTTCATTATGTAATGTGGTCCTACTTTATATGCTTAAAATTATGTCATTCATAATAAAATTAGATGTAAGTTTTTCGCTTTTCACACAGCAACTGCCACCCACTTTCAATATGTATACCAGCGCGCACGGACTTCTGTCCCCATGCACCCCAAGGCTTCCTCTAGCTTTCCGAGCCTCTCGGACTCCGCCGGGTTTCTAAAGCCTTCCTGGGTCCTGAAAGTAACCTTTTTCTTTCCGTGCAGGCAGAGGATCTTTGCCTAGGCGCTTCTGTAAAACGCTCCCTCTTACGGAAACTCGCGTGAAATGTGTCTCTCGCCTCTCTGCCCTGGAGGTTCAGCCCGTTCTCCTGCCGCCGGGTTTGAGGACCCAACCTCGTCGCCCTCTTCCCGCCGCAGGTAGCGGGATCTCCCGCTGGCTCGCACCAGAGGGAACATCCGTGACTGCTGAGAGCCCTTGGCGGCGCACCGCCCGCGGTCCTCTCGCCCCGACCTTCCCAACCCTCACCCGGCGCCCTGGGGAGGCCGGGGCACTTACAGCCGGCGGCCGAGTTCCTCCACCGAGCGCCCGCAGGAGGGCACCGAGTAGCTCAACAGGAACACTGCGACGCTCCACTGGTGAACCAGCCTCCGCAGCATCGTCTCCGCTGGCTCTCGAGACCTGCAACAGAGAGCAAAGGGGCCGAAGTGTCAGTCCGGAGGCCACATCTCCTCCCCGCACGGCCCCGCTCCCCCGTTAGTGTGCTCTCAAATAGCCGTTTCAGCATCCAGGGCATCTCCCAAGTTGCAAAGAAAAAAAAACAAAAAACCAAAAACAAACAAAACAAAAAAACCAAAAAAAACCCCAAAACAAAACACTTTCTCTGGAGCCTCTCAGCACTTACTTATTTAGGAACCAGCTACTCCAACTGTGCCTTTTCCAAACCACACAGGCAAAAAAGGACCAAAAAGGAAAGAAAAAATCGGAGACACTTCCCCTGAAATAATAACCCAAATGAAATGGTTTTCTACGTGCATCAAGGATGCGTCGCGAGTTTACACGTCTCCCATAGCAATGTCTAATGACTGTGGCCGCAGCTCTCCTGGGTGCGTGGAGCAGGGCTAACCCCTTCCCAAGAGAGAAGAAAGTTTCCCCTCCAAAGTCAGCTTCTGGGCGCACTGGGCCGCCCGGTTCCTGAGCCACTTGCAGCGAGACCCACATATATATGCATAGCCGCCGTCTACCTCCTCTGGTGGGCTGGTTGCTTCCGGAAAGTTGATTCCACACACCCTGAGAACAAGTTTCAAGTGCGCGTGTCGTCGATCGGCAGGGCCAGGTGGCCGCGAGGGCGGGCTCACGGCGGCGCCGGGGGGCGGCGGGAGCGCAGCGCGGCGCGGCGCGGCGCGGCCGTGTCACTGGCGGGGCGGCATGCTGGCCGGGCGGCGCAGGTTGGAGGCGAGTGCAAAGCCGAGCGGAGGAATGTTCACACGCTCGGGGCAAACCTGCCGGAGAAGTGAGCTAGTCGCAAAGAGGTGGCGCCCTAGGAACGCGCGCCGGGCGAGCTAGGGCGCGGGAGCGCGGGGGGCGGGGGCGGCGGCCGGCGACCGGAGCGGGCCCCGGGGAGCCCCGAGCTGGAAATGCGCGGCAAGTGCCGGCGCTCCCCGCCGCCCGTCGGCTCCCAGCCCTGCCGAGCCCCACCCCGGAGCGCTGCCGGCCCAGCCGCTCCATCCCGGGCCGGGGGCGTGAGACCCGCCGCTCTCGATCCCGTCCGGTCAGACCCTGCCCTCGCGCGGGCGCGGAGCCTGGGCCCCCGGGGCTCCCGAGGGCTTGAGGGCGACCCCGGCAGCCGCCGCCTCCGACTCCTCGCTGGACGCGCGGGCGCCGTGGCCGCCGGGGGCGGACTGGCGGAGGAGGAGGCCGAGAAACCCGGCCCCGGAGCGAGGGCGCCGGCATCCTTCGCCTGCCTGGAAGCTCGGAGAGCCAGAAGGGAACCGCGAGAGGGGAACCCTCCTCCCCGGCCCCGGCCCGGGACTAGCCGAGCGGGGCGCGTCGTCTAGGGAGGGGGAGCTGCTTCACTGAGAAGAGTGAAAACGCTTTCAGACTCCGGATCGAGGTGGCGTTTCTTGCTGTCTCGGAACAGCTGAGGACCTCTGGAGCGGGTCCAAGAAAACCCAAACGCACCACCGAGACCCCGGTTTGGATGGCGCAAAGGGACCCGCAGGGGTGGAAGTCACCCTTTCCCGGAGAGCCTGCTCCGCGCCCCTCCCGCCCCAGGCCCCTGTTACATGTGCTAGAAGGACTAGCCGTGTCGCCTCAGCCCGCAGAGGCAGCGGAGCCACCAGTGCATGCGGTTCTGCTTCGGAGAAGCGAGGGGAAAAGCAGGGGATTCTTCCCAAAGCTGTTGGGCGGGGACGCGAGACTGCTGTGAATTACTGGGCAGTATCAGCTGGGAAAGGGCTGCAGCGGATGTGCACACCCGCCCAGCCGGCGCGCTGTCTTTTCTGCAGTGAACGCGGGCGGCTCATCAAGGGATGTTTGTCTTCTAGACAACCCCCCTGGTGGGTTTCATTTCTCCCTCGAGGGCTAGTGGGGTGTAGAGATTGGAGATGATGCGGGGAGCCTGACCTGTATCACGCCTGGCTTTCTGGCTGATGCTCCACAGATTGGACCCCGGGTGAGGGCAACAGCGCCCCCTTCCCGACCCGCGCTCAGCTCGCCTCCCTGTCCCCCTCCTCAACCGCAGCTAGCTGACTAGCAGGGCGCCGCGCGCTTGGGTTTGGGGTTACTCCTTTTCAGAAGCGGCTCTCTCCCTCATCTGATTCCTTTCAACTCCATGCTTTGAAAAACTTGGCTTCCAACCACTACAAAAAAAAAAAAAAAAATCAGGGAATTTCCACAACTTCCCTTAAAAGTTAGACCTGTTTGCATGGCATGAAAAGACAAACTATCAACATTCAGAAATGTCAACCTTTGAACCTCTAACTCTCTGATTTATAATAAATTCTTTCCAAAATGACGCAGGGACCTTAATGTATTCGTTAGATCTGGAGGGGGAAATCTGTAAAAGAGGAGATCACAAACGAGCCATTTAATACTTGCAAGTTGTTTTAAGGTAAAATGATAAAATTTGCTTCAATAACAATAGTAGCAACAACAACAACAAAGTCACTTCGCCAAATTTCAAACTACCCAGACTTTAAAATGCCAACCCTCCTCCAAAAGAGGATTAAAACCAAAATCAGATTGAAAATACTAAGTCACTCATGCCTAAATAAATTCATTACATCCAAAGACCATTACAAAGACTGGAATCAATAGATAGCTTTGATTTATGTTGCTCTTTCTACTAATTAAATAAAATTGAGTCCTTTCCCCTCCCCTCCCCCATCTTTTTTCTTTCCCCACACACTTTCCTGGTGTTAATGGCAAAACATCTATCAACTATTTTTAGAATTTCCTCTCCTCTACAAAAAGAGAAAATATAGAGAAAGGAAAAATAAATAGCCTTTATATAGTCGGAATACCATCGTTTCCTCATAATTTATGACTTCACCTTTTCCTTAGTTCAGTCTTCTCTGTTCTTCTCGCCAAAGAGGGAGATCTTTTTAGTAGTCTATTCCAGAAATCATCTTTTTGTGTGTTCTTCAAAAAAGTGAAAATAAGCCTTAAATGAACTGAAAACTTTCGTCAGGAGTTTTCGTCTTTTTTTTTTTGTCTTTTTTTCTGTTCCCCCAAGGTAATTATTAGAAAGCAGATACCTCTTTCCTAAGCTGCTTACCCCGTCTGTTACTTCTAGCAGAAATCCTCCTCAATATATACCCAGGCCCTGACTTTTTACCCTTCTGAAAAGGATATTTTCTGACATCGTAATCTAGTTCCCAATCTAACTGAATCATCTCCATGATGATGTAGTGGACACGTGACTCCAAATGAGATGACTCCACACTCAGAGCCCTCCCTCCTCCTTGGGTTTAGGACTTGAGCAAGTGCCAATAGGGACTGACATTTTGCTTAGACCTCGATATCAAGTGAATGCACCTTACAAAACAGGAGAATTGGAAGGCTTGTCTTGAACCTGAAGTTTTTCCATATGAAGACAGTTAACACTGTGAGGTCTCCACCTACACACATGCCTGGCCCATGAGCCAGCCCAGACTTCATTTGCCCTCCCCGGCCAGTGTCAGCATTCTATCCCACTTGATAAAAGAGATTTCTGAAATTTTCAGTGCACTTTTATTCATAAATTCATGTTGAAATAACCACTTGATGTGCATCCCCAGGGCTATCTCCTCAGGCAATTTAGAAAAAAATAACCAGCACTCATGGTTAACTTCCTCTTTCTCCCCCGTTTTCCTCCTCAACCCAAACAATAGACAAATATACAAACCAAAAAAGTACCTATAACTCTTTAGACATTGCACCTGGGCTCAGGAATTCCCTTATCTTATTACCAATAAGTATCCTGATTTAACATTTGCCAATCTATAGCTCTAAGCAATCTCTCCCAAATCCTATGAAACCAAACCACTAAACTCGTCCCTTCTCTCCACTGTTTACATGGAGAAATTTACATAATTGACTCAAGTAACAGGGTTTGATTCCTTTAGAGATTTTTGAGGAGGCTGTTGTCAGCTGATCTCAAGGTATCAAAAAATGAAAAAAAGGATGTAATCACAAGCAGAGGTAGGAAAGGTGTGTCTCATTAGCAAATCTCTTTGTAGTGAGAAGAGGATAAGACTCAAACAGGAGCTGTCTTCTACAGGGACAGGGCTGGCTGCTGACATCTGCAGGAACAGCCTCAGGGAAATGCTTAGACTTGCTGATGACATCCCTTCCTTGGAAATGTAGGTCTCACCCCATGCTTACACCTCCCTGCTTCCTGGGTAATGTGGAGCTTTCTCTAAACAGGTTCAGAAAGCCCACCAGTGAGACAGATTTCTCCAGAGAGATCCAAGTCAATGTGAGCTGAGCTGGTGTTTAGGAAATGAGGATCTCTAGGAGCCAGTTCTCCAAGGTGAAGTACTTGTCCTCCCCAAAGCTGTGACTTTCAAAGCATGTCTTCTCATCAGGGTTGTATTTTTGTGGGGGGTGGAGGGGGAGACATGGTGGCTGGGATAAAAGGATGTGCACCACTGTTGTCCTGATCTCTTACGCTGGTGTTTGCCTAGTGCGCTTGTCTGGGCCGAATCATTTCTTCCTTAAGTAGGTAGCCCTTGACTTGTAGGAGACTGTGTGAAGAGTCTGGAAGGCCAGACCTGTGTGTCATTGGGACTTGGGAAGCAGTTTGCCTTGGGCACCAGTCTCTGCCCCTGCAAAGCTGCCAGCTCCAAAGGCAGCACATGGTGTGTGGTACCTATCTTCTGAAGCAGAAGGACATCCAGACACCCACACTTAGTCAGGCATTGTGATTGTTTTGCTTTTTACTGGTGGTCCTCAGCCCTGCCTGTCCTTACTGGCATTCTTGTGAGAAATGAGGCTGGGAAATCTGTGTATTTCCTGGGGCCTCTTGGTCTTGTTGTGTAGGGCACAGGAAAGGGGAGGTGTGTGCCTCCTGGGGCAGCAGTCCTGGGTCTGGCAAGAGGCAGGTGGATGCCCAGATAATCTTGCTCAGCCTCCCATCTCTCTCTCTACAGACCTGGGTCACCCATTGTGGATACAATTCCAGAGGAGGACCCTGCTGGCCTCCTGGAGATCAGAGGTTTGGTGGAAAGTTCAAGGGCCTGGGGCCCCAATAGTGAGTCTAACTACTTCCCCTGGCTTTTCCTTGGGCTTTCCTCCCTGAAATCTGGACTGATTGCCATGCAGAATGTCTTCTGCCTGGAGAGTTAAGATTGGAGGCTTCACTCCATCCTGCCAGGTTGAGAGCATGGCTCTGCACCCCTGCAGTCAGACTCACCAGCCTGGTACCCCCTCCTCCTGGGAAGACCCTGCTTCTGGCTGCAGGGGAAAGGACCTTCGGAAACAGTGTGACACTTGAGGACAGGATGGGGGCATGAGTAAAATTCCTCTGGGGGAGGGGGTCCTCTACTCCCTCCTGCTTCCTGCTCAGTCTATGACTCAGGGGTGACATAAGCCCCTGGCAGACGGTGAGGGCACATCCTCAGTGGGGGTGCCCAGATATACCTCCCTCCTCCCCACCCAGTCTGGACTCAGGTCTGGTCCCTGCGGAGGGTGTGTGCGGTAAGGAGCCCTTCCTCCTGGAGCCCCGGTGTCGCTCTCCTCCTGACCCCCCACTCCACCTCCCCAGCCCTCGCGGTTCCAGCTTGTCGCTGCGGGAGCCGGAGGCCTGTCTGTTTCATTTCATTGAACACGATCCGGGGCGGCACGGGCGAGCAGAGAAAATGCAAGAGCCTAGTTCTGCCAACTGGCCCTGATTCTCAGAATCCGGTGGCACCTTCCAGGACTGACGTGAGGGCAGGAGGACGGTGGTTAATTCCTGAAGCCCGCGCTGTGTCTACTAGAGTTACTTCTGCTTGCAGTTGCCCGTTTGCCGGCCGGGGGTGTAGACTGAGGAACGCGGGGCATTTCTCCAGGGTGCAGCATCAACCTCGCTGGTGGCTCCGGTAGAGTTTGTGAACCGCGGAGCTGGCAGGGGGAAGCCAGTGAGCTGTCCATGGTGGTTAAGTCTCCTGGACGTGCGTGCGCGGCGGCCCCAGCGTGGCGCGGACCCCCACCCAGCCCCGCGCCGCCCTACCTGTGCGCCCCAGCCTGCCAGCCACCCCACCTCTGCGCGCCGGGCACCTGGCTGGACGTGTTCCTTCGCACAACTACAGGCGCGCTCTCCCCGAGGCAGGATTCCAGAGATAAAGGGGAAACGCCCGGGTCGAAACTGTGGCTTTCCTCCCAGATCCTTCCTGACGATGTCTTTCCTTCCTCAGGCACCATCTCAAGTGCTTTAGGAAACATCTGTCTGTGCAGCAGCCGGCCTCCCTCCCCTAGGCGAAGGTTCTTTCTTGAAAGAGGGAGAAGCAACCTGCTGATCTTAAGTTTCTCAGGTTTGCTAAGTGCTTCTGGAGACTGGCCTTTGCTTGTGGCAGTGAGGCTTCCCTGCCATAGTGTCAACACTGGCGGTTCTTGAGTGAGGAGAGGGCTGTTGGGAGATTGGCTGTTGTCTTAGGGATTTCTCAGGGTGATAGAGTGGCTGTAAAATATTATTCGGAGGACTGACTTGTCACTTTGTCACAAGGGGTCCCTAGTGTCTGATTACAGGGGAAGAAACCAAAAAAATTACTCACAGGGCCATTCTCTGTGAAGGTCAATTCTGTCCAGTGTGATGCATCCTTACAAAGTGTTTATTGACTTAACGAAGCTCTTATATATGTGTAAAACAAAGATGTTTTGCCTTTTATATTATCAGTACATTGTGCCCCTTTTTGTCTTTTCATTTTCCTTTTTTTTTTAAAGATTTATTTATTTATTTATTTATTTATTTATACAAGCACTGGGTACAGCCAGAAGTGCGGGAGTGTGAGACAATTCACCAGAGCCAGAGGAGAGAACAGAACAGGCAGACTGACGAAGTACACCGCTGAGGGGAGCAGTGGGCAGCAGGAGAGGTCTGTGAGCCATGTGGAACCCTAGCCCGGCCTCTGGGGATCCAACTGGCGCTGCAGAGGCTGCGGGCAGCTTCGCAGCCCAGTGCTCAACCGCTGCGCCACCTGGGAGGCCCTCATTTTCCTTTTTTAAGGAAGCTAATAGCTATTCTTTTCAGTTTTGAAGAAAGCAAAACAAAATGCCCACCACTATCACTTACCACCCCTCAGCTTTTCTCTCTTCCTGCCTTCCTCACCTCTGCTAACTTCAGTTCATTTATCAGTGTCCACCAGTTGATTTTTTGTTTTCACTGTCAGTTATCCATTTTCCCCTTATATTACTCATATGTGAAATCATCCAATATTTGTCTTCACCTTTCTGCTAACTTCACTTTGCCTAATTCCCCCAAGTTCCTTCTATTTGCTGCAAATGGCAAAAATTCACCTTTCCTTATAGCTAAATAGTGTTCCAGGGTGTGGACACATCACATCTACTTTATCCAATCTTCTATCAATTTAGGTTGCTTCCACACCTTAGCTGTTGTAAATAATGCCACAATTATCTTTTAATTTTCTTGGCAATTTCTCTCTATCACTGTTAGAGATTCTTCCACCATCTAAATACCAATTTTTCTTAAATACTACAAAAAACCCTACAAAACATGGTATAAACATTTCTAAATCATTTGCATGTTGTTCTTTTTTTTATGAAGACATATGCAATTAACATCCAGACCACAGAAACTTTGGTATTTTCTGTAAAGAGGCTGCAAGATATTCCATCTTTCTTACTGTGAATGTGTGCACTTGCAAACAACTTTGAGAATGCCAAATACCAAATAGAAAGTATTAGGACTCTATGTTTTTTCATGTTTTTCCCTCTCAGTTTCTGGATCTATAAAATAAAAATAGCTAACAGGGAAAGATGGAATATTTCTCTAAATTTTTTCTTTATTCTAAATTCTTTCTAAATGTTTTCCCAAGTCAATAAAATTGATATAAAACATCTTACTTTTCCTTTCTCTATTTACAACTATTAGTGGGAGAAAGCCTGACTCTGTACCCAGTTCCTTGAAAATCATGACATTAATCAGCTTTATACATTATTTTACAAGTTTAGTTTTGTTCTGTGAATTCCTTGGAAGCTAGCCTCCTGCTATATGTCACTGTGCACTTTATACATTTTTAAAAAGTGATATAAATAGATTTCATTCTTTTGTTCTCTATCTGTTCATCTAACTTAAGGAGTTCCCCTGCCACCCATTCCTCCTGTCTTATCAGGTTAGCATTTTCCTCTGTCTCATGGTGACACCAGTTGAGAGTTTTCCCTTTCAAGCTCATCTGATTTCCTTCAGTTTATTTTTTTAAGTTCCCTAACAGCTTCTTTATTCAGTTTTTAAGATCTCATTCTCTTATCTTTTAGATTTGATAAATTTATTAGGAAGGTTGTTAACTCACCAAGCAGTTTTGTTAAAGGGGCCTTTTTACTTTTGAAAGGAAATCAATCAATTGCTATAATTGCCTGTGAGCTAACAAAGAAAAAAAGTCCATCCATCTTTTGTTTGTGTCCACCTGCTCTCCTGATGTGCTCAATTGTGATATGAGCAGCGAGTAGGTCTTCTGAAGATACCTGAGTCAAATTAAATCACAGTTCTTTATATACACACTTTTGAGAAATGAGAGCACATTGTTAGTTATTTTTAAACCATTCTCCAAAATTCATATATAAAGCTCTTTGATCTCCTACTGGGACTCTTTCATAAGTTTATTCTTTTAAAAATCATGCAGGATCTCATTCTGTCGTAAGTGTCTCTCTCTCCTTAATGCTGAAGGCATGGTGTTACATGCTCTCCTGAGGAGATTCCCCTTCTTTTCATTTGCATTTCACAGTCAAGTAATGAGAGGGGACGTGGATTCTCACTGCATTGTAATATGTGGAGATCAATTATTATGTGGTTGTACTTATGTTAGGAAATTTAAACTGACCTTAGTAAAATTTTGTTGCACTTTGCTCTTTTCTTTCTCATCCTGCTAAGCTGTTAATTATACATCAAACTGCCAAGATATTTTTAAAGGTTAAAAAAAAAAAGGAAGCTACTTTTTGTGAAAAGTATAAAAATATTTTGTCCTATAAACACAGCTCACATTCTTTGTAAAGCTATTTTTAATAGGCAAAAATGTACATGCCTATAGCAATTAAATTGTTCTTTAAAAGACCTATGATGGCCTTAAATGGAACAGCAACTCAAGTGTGGTTGATACAGTTCCAAAAAAGCTACATTTAAAAAAGAGTTTCATTGTCGAGGTGTATGACGATGTAGTCTGTAATACACAGTCTGGACATCAGAAACGCATTTTCCCCTCATCTTATTCCAAACCAGGTGTGGCAAAAATGGCAAAACCAAAGAGACAAGGATCAAGGCAAGTCTGAGGATTTGGAGGAAAAGGACTATGTAAGTATAGTGAGTATAGATCTTTAAGATCTTCCCCAGACTTTTTAACAGTCGAGAACATAGCCTGTCACTAACTTTTAAACAGTCGAGAGTGTAGCCTGTTTGCTAAGTAGTGCAAAGTGTCTCCATGTCTATCTTGCTAGAGCTGCTGACATCATTAATTATTTCCTTTAGAGATTGAATGGAAGTACTTGTATCCCCTCTGGCATGGGCAGGGCAAGTTCAGGTCCAAACTAATACCTTGAGTTGATTTTAGCTAACAAGACTGTTGGTCATCTTGTTATATACGCAGGATTGAAAGACAAATATTATAGGAGGCTACGATACTTCCCCAGCCTGGAGGAGGCTGACACACCCTCAATATGTAAACAGTCACTATTACAATCTACTAAAGAGAGATTACATTTCATTACTCCTAAGTCAAACTGGGAAAATTAAAAGCCAGAGAACACCCCAACCACCACTGAATATTTTTAAAAATCAATATTTTCCACTGACCCTTATAGGCAAATTTTTTTGGTCCCATTTTACCCTGTGAGATTAATGACAATCCTTGCAAATTAGTTATGCAACTGAAAAGACTTCAGTAACATATCTGCTAAAAATAAACTAGAGGCAGAGTAGTGCCCTGGGCTCAAGACTACTGACGTCTGCTTTCTATTTCTGTCTGCTCATTTGTTCACAGGCACATCATTCATAGTCATCATAGGTCTAGTTTCCTGCTCTCTAATGGGAGAGCTTGTCTTGATGACCCAAGTATTTTTCATTTTTCATTTAAGTGCTATACTTTTCTACATGTGGAGAGGAGTGAAAAATACATTGGTGGAATGCCAGCAGACTCACCCCTGAATAGCACCCTTCAGCACCTGACTCTGCCACAATCTGGGGCAAAATAACAATGAGGAAGTCATTCCATCTTAGCACGTTGCAGAAAAAGGTAGGATAGAGAAAATGGAAGGAAAGAAGAGGAAAGGGAGCATAAGGGAGAAAAAATAGGAGGAAGAATGGAAGAAAGAAGGTAATTAAAAAAAAAAAAGGTGAGTTGGTGCATCGCTACCCCTGTACCTACCCTGTCTGACTTCCCACTGCCCATTAGCATGACAAGGTATTTTTCCTTTTTACCATGTTGACTTGCAGACCCTTTTCAAAGAGGATGAACTGTGCTGTTTGTTGGCTGCACTATCTCTTTAGTTCCTTCACATATTTATGGAGGGAGGGGCGGGAAGTCCCTCCTGATCTGGACTTGGGTCAACCCTAGAATTCAACTCCAGCATAGAAGCCATTCTGTCTAATAGCCTTTTTTATCATCTAAAATTTTTTCTGTGTAACACCTGATCTCCTTTTGAGAAGACTGTTTTATCAAAAGATGTTACCTAGTTCATACTCCAGTGGCTCAGGGAGTCTATTCTTTTCACCTGATATATGATTTTACTAAGTTTTCTTTCTGATGGTATCTCCAAAATATCCTAGATGTTACCCACATTCAAAACTGATATTTACAAGTAACATTGAGCTCCTGAACTGAGAATTGTGTTGACTTCAAAGGGCATAATTTCACTCACAAAAGAGTGTGACATTACTTTTCCCATCTAGGGTAAATAATTGTTAAAATGGAGATTTCAGTTTGAATTCAGTTTTGTCTGGTACTTTGTTGCTTCTCCTAATGATGCAGGCTCTGGATACTATACCTCACATCCACTGAACTGGTAGTTTATTTGGTTGATGTGACTGGTTAGGTAACTATTGGCTTCTCTCCCCACCCATGTTAGTTTCTGAAAATTTTGTCCTTGTCTGAAGAGATTGAGAAGGTCTGTCCTTTGATCCAGAACTACTGAGATGCTGAGCATCTTTGCTGAAAAGAAATCATAGGATGCTGTAGTTCTACAGACCAAAATAAAAAAAAAAAAAGAAGCGCATCCTTTTTTTCTGCTTATTGCATGGTCTTATTACCACACTACAGAAATAGCCTCAGAATCAACTTTATGTGAAAATCTTATATTTACTGAGTCTGCTTTATGGTAAGTTATATTCTGGGGATTTAAAGGAAATAACGTGCATTGGAACATTACTCTGATACCTTATCAAGACAATATTTTCTCTTTTCCCTCAAAATCACATTTGGACCTGCCCATCTCAGCACATGTTAAGGGAAATAGTATATATTTTTAAAAAGTCGTATGAAAAATATGTATGTGAAATATGTATGAAAATATGTATCTTCAGGAACTTGATATCAAGTATACTTCCACTTAAGTTATTGATCATCTACTATGTCTAAGCTCTGTATAAAGCAATAAATGAAGCCATACAGCAAATCTATATTCTTTCCTTTATTGCTTCGGCTACATTCTTAATCATTTTGTTGTAAGAGGCTTCAAATCATTTTTGGAAACAAACAGGTCCAAGAAGAAATCTAGTATGAGGTTGAGATGTAAATTATGTCAACAAACCTTTCTTGAATCCATACAAAGTCAGGCACAGGCACCATGGAAGATGCTAGAGTCACAGTCATGATGTAGACTGTGCAGTCTCTCCACAACTGTGAAACTTTTACTTCTTGTTTGCTAAATATTTGACTCATATTTTTATTATAAATCTTTGGCTTTTGACACACTAAATATTTTACTGACATTGATTAATGTCTGTTTCTTTCCACAAGAATAAATGAAAACTCTGTGAAGGTCAAGATTTTCGTGTTTTTGTTGGATCTGTAGAACATATAACAGTGCTTTGCACAAAGAAGGAAGTGAGTCAGTCTTTCAAAGAATAAAACAGTGAGTGAAGATTAAAAGATGCCCATATTTTTCTTCTGTATACACGTACAATTATATAGGTGAATTTTTCATTGGTAAGACAGACTTCAACCCTTAGTAATTTTCTTCATGATTACCACTTATTGTTTTATATCAATAAACTGAAGGATTACTGATAAATAAAAATGTTGGGTTAAATATGATAATCTTTTAAATTTTCTATGTAATAATCAGTTAGGCTTGGCCAGAAAGGAATTATTTTTTACCATCAAAGGCAGGTCCTATTTTCATTCCTGTGTGCATTATACTTTACCTCCCAGACACAATTAGAATGGTATCTATTATCAGATCATGCAGGCAAAGTGGAGAAAAATTATTTTACCACACCCCAGTGAGGATTTCTGTTAATGGGAAAAGCCGTCTATCGGGCTGTAGGTGAATCATTAATCAACCAAAACCTGATGTATGTCGAACTTGTCTTTTTTTGACAGTAGGTAAATACATTTTATTCTCGTGGTAGGGGAGTGGGGCAGAAGATTACACCTGAGTCAGTTCCATACTCCCTTCTCAGATTACCACATTCCATTGTATAATAATGCCCATACTTGCATTTTTCTATTATTGTTTAACATTTTCCCCTCAAATGACCTATTGTAGCTGTGGCTTAAGGGCTACCTGTTTTGAACAATGGCCCTGGCATGGGCCTTCCACATCACCACTGAATTGCAGCTGAATATATTTGCTACATAATTTAGAAGAATGCAGAATGACATTAAAGGCCTAAAATAAGCCTGATCTACAAATACTCTCTCATAATCCTGCATATTATCTTTCATTAGAGTTTCAGACATCTGTCAAGTCTGAAACCTTATTATTGAGTTATTTTCCAATCCCCTAAGCAAAGCCTATTGTGTGGTTCAATAGGTTGAAACCTAAAGTTGCAACCAACCTTCCACTGCCTGTTACAAGACTTGGAGATCATAGGTGCTGTCTGAACAGTCATCCTAGGTCCTGGCCTAGAGTTCTTGGCAGGAAGAGTGTTTGCATGAACTTTATCTCAAGCTCTCCAAGACGCTTCTGGAAGAGTAAAAGTTGGCAACATTTTTGAAAGAAGACCAAGGGTACTTTCATATTAGGAACTGGAGATGGTCAAATGATGTGACCGTAAGTGTTGCTCTTAAAAGGAACATCAGGCCACTCTCTTTTTAACTAGGTGTCAGGCTCTTGATGTAAAAGAAACACTCAAATAATTTGAGGGCCAGTGGATGTATAGCTTGTACCAGCCCAGGGAAAGCTGAGTTCTTTAGCAATTGCAGTGGGAGAACGTTCCCCAGTATCACTCAGCCAGCCGTCAGCCCCTTATACTTACAAGTCTCCTTGGAGTATTGCTGCTTCCTCAGATTCTCCCAGACACTCCTCAGAGAAACAAAGCTGTTCTCTTACATTGACCCAAAGAGACACAGACAGGAAAGGCAAAACCACGAGCTCCAAACAAAGGAAGGAACTCCTGAACTGCAACTTGTTGGCCTCTGAGAGCTTTGAGTTTCGCTCCATTTGTTCAGGCAATGAGGACTCTATCTATCATCATGAATGTGAATTGGCAATGGGGGCAGTGGAAAGAGTGAATCAAAGACCTTGATTTTAGGTTTGGCTCTTCCTCTTGCCAGTTGGTTTCATAAACTTAAAGACATAGAGCCGCTCAGAGCCTGACTTTACCCGGGCAGTGGGGGCAGCATGACCCTGAACCTGCTTCACTTACTTCAGAGGGCTGTCATCGTGATCAGATGAAATAATATGGGGAGTTATTTATAAACTACAAAGCCTTGCTGAGATATTTAATTAAACGCATATATTACATTTCACCATTATCCTAAGTTGAAATCCATAGATCTTAAATTACTCCCTCCTCAGACATTCAGATGAGCATTTGATTACATCTCGGGGCAATTAAATAATGAAAAATGATCTTAAAATTGAGAATTTTCATTTGACTTTTTACTCTTTCAATATTTTCTTTCCTTTACCTGATAAATATTAGCATTGTATAAATCAGTACAGGAAATACCATCCTACCTGATTCCCAGCATGAAAACCACACTGAATATCTTTGAAATAAGGGGTAGCTAATTGATTTGTAACAGGGTTTGGTCTTTTTTAAGAGCTGCTATTATCTAAGCATCTTTGTTTGGACAGCTATTTCAGCTGTGGCTATTATAATCCCTGAGGCATCCCATGAATCAGCAACGCTCAGTTTGGGGGAGAGTCAGTGTGACCCATTGGGTAACCATGGTATCTAAGGTCTTCTCAGACATAACAACAAACTTTGAGGCTGGGGTCAAAGTAGAGAGATAAGAACCTGGAGTCGAGGAAGAAGAACCAAAAGGCGTGAATAAGTAAGTTTAGCAACTGCCACAGGAAAAGGGAAAGAACCCCATCTTTTACCTGGGGAGATTACATATGGGAAAAAGTGAGTAAGGAGAGAAAAAGAGAAACATCTCAAATCATAGAGAGAATTTCATTTAAACTCACTATGTGTGTGTACATTTGTCTGAACATTTGAAGTTTTGATATTCTGTTTTGAGATGTTTCACCCCACTGATTCTTAGGAATGAGGCTCCATCTGAGGTCAAAGCTGAAATTGGGGAAGGCTTCATCAACATCTGAACATCTCCAGATCATGCTTGCCTGACTCGGGAGATGTAATTTTTTTCCTACTGGAGCCCACACAGTGACAAGAAAGAATATTTGAATTTCAGCTTGCAGATCCCACCACTGAGAGATAGTTGTGGTGGGGCCTGTGAAGAGGAACGAATCCTAAAGCCACGATCTTCACTAATAGAGGTTCGATCTTAGCTCTAGTATTTGTGAGGGGCTAGGTGAAGCTGGAAAGAATTAGTGGGATTAGCAATTGAATGCATCAATTATTTATTGAATTGCATTCTTACCATGGGAGGCTGGCTCTGTAGGCTACTAAGAAATGGAAAAGAAAGTATCTATTCCCTTGAGGGGTTTACAAACTTGTAGGTCTCCATTAAATAATTAAGTCCTCCATTTTTACTTCTCTAGCAGAATGTTTGCATAAAAATAATTCAATCGTATGTACTGTCATTTCTCCAATAAGAAAAGACACATAAGAGCCTTTACCCCTTTAGATGCCACCAAAGTTCTGATGGCTTAGAAAAGAACTCATTGTACAAAGGCGCAATGTTGCTTATTCCTAAAAGGGAGGGCAGAGCCTTGTCCATATGAGTATTCTTTC